TGTCTGTGTGTGTCTCTGTCTGTCTGTGTGTATCTCTGTCTGTGTGTCTGTGTGTGTCTCTGTCTCTGTGTGTGTCTCTGTGTGTCTGTGCGTGTCTCTGTCTGTGTGTCTGTGTCTCTGTCCATGTGTCTGTGTGTGTCTCTGTCTGTGTGTGTCTCTGTCTGTCTGTGTGTGTCTCTGTCTGTCTGTGTGTGTCTCTGTCTGTGTGTCTGTGTGTGTCTCTGTCTCTCTGTGTGTGTCTCTGTCTGTGTGTGTCTCTGTGTGTCTGTGCGTGTCTCTGTCTGTGTGTCTGTGTCTCTGTCCATGTGTCTGTGTGTGCCTCTGTCTGTGTGTCTGTGTGTGCCTCTGTCTCTCTGTGTGTGTCTCTGTCTGTGTGTGTCTCTGTGTGTCTGTGTGTGTCTCTGTCTGTGTGTCTGTGTGTCTCTGTCTCTCTGTGTGTTTCTCTATCTGTGTGTGTCTCTGTGTGTCTGTGCGTGTCTCTGTGTGTCTGTGTGTGTCTCTGTCTGTGTGTCTGTGTGTGTCTCTGTCTCTCTGTGTGTGTCTCTGTCTGTGTGTCTATCCGTCTGTCTGCGTGTATGGACGTGGGCTGTCTTCAGCCCTCAGCAGCATCTCACAGCCGTGCCCAAGACCTCGGAGCAGCATCAGCCTGGAGTGAGCTGGGGCTCAGTGTCCCCAATGGGCACCTGCAGGCCAGTGGCCCCACCAGCGCCTCCACCACTCCTGGGGCCTCCGCAGGTCACCCCTCCTCTCTAAGCCTCAGTGTCCTCATCTGGGAAGTTGGGACAGCGTTCCTCTGTGGGGTGCACAGCACAGGCCTGGCCATCCAACCGTTGGTGGACACTGGCCGCTGCGGCTGCTATTCCTAGGAGCAATGAGACAAGGAGAGAAGCCTGCCCGCTTAGTGGGTTCTCCAGCCTAGGAATGTGGGGAGACAGGAACGGACGCTGGGCATGTTCCTAGACAACCCACAGACACTCTCCCTCCCCAGGCAGCGAGGCCGCCATTCCTGGCACAGTTCATCCCCTCTCATCGGGACAGGGACTCCACTAGGTCCCCAGTGCCTGGAGGAGGACATGGCCCACATTAGATGCTCAGGAAAGACTTGCCACTATGTCCAACCCTTAGGTCTTGGGCTGGAAGGGGACAGGGTCGTGCCCTCCCACAGCCAGGCCCAGGGCAGAGGGTCGCACCTAGACTCTCGCCCAGATTGCAGAGGTGCAGAGTGAAGCCAGTCCTAGGCCCAGGCCCAGACCCAGGAGGGACCAGGGGCCATTTTCTTCTGAGCGCTTCCTGGAGGAGCTGGGCCTGGGGGTGCTGCTTTTGGCCCAACTCTGGCCACTGTCACTGCCCACCCTCAGTCCCAGATTTGGCCTGGGGCACCTTCAGGCCTTCAGGTTCCAGGGCTGCCCCAAGGCTCTGCCTGGAATGCCAGCCTCACCCGCCCTCCCTCAGCTTTCTCTGCCTGGGGTTCAAGCAGCTCCTGGCCCATGAGCTCTGCTCTAACTTCGTCCATGGCTCCCTAGTGCCTCAGCCCTGAGTCAAGGCCCAGGGTGGAGAAGTCCGGGGTGAGCTGTGGCACCCAGCTGTCTTGATTTCCATCCCAGGACGCTGGCCCCAGCTCAGTCACACCTTTCCAGGGTGAGGCAGCAGGGCACGGGCTCCCTGCTTTTCTCAACTGTCACTGTCTATATCTTCCCCATGCACACCTGGAGTGCCTGGGGACAGTCTCAGCCCTAGCTTGTCCATGGCCAGATCCCCAGGCCCAGCCCCATCGTTGCCCAATCAAATGAGGAGCAGACGGGTAGGTGAGGCCTGAGGTCAGCCGCACCCCCAGAGCGGCTGGCGCTAGACGGCCGGCTCCTGCTTCTCATGTGAGGTGCTTCCTTGCCTTTCCCCCCACTGCCGGGGAGCAGGGACCCAGGGCTTGTGGGGCTGATGAGGGACTCCTGGCTGCTTAACGGGTAGGCCCTTGCTGGGCTTGGGTCACAACAGCCTTGGCCAGCCCTCACGGAGCACATAGTTTAGACATGGAACAATAACGACACCAAAAACAGTATATTCATAAACATGAATTGGTGTGCCACGAGCTCTGAGAGGGGCCAGCTAGAGACCCCACCGGTGGGCTCTGACCGCAGCAGGAAAGCAGGGACTCTCGGAGGGCAGGTGTTCTGGACAGAGAGACCAGCATGTGCAAAGGCCCTGTGCGGCAGATTTTGAGAAACAAGATGCAGCTGGCCAGGTCAACGGCCTGACAGGACCTTCATATAGGGAGCTGGGATTTATCCCCTGGGCAGTGGGCACATCACAGAACACAGGCTGCAGGGGAAGCAGAGCTGGTGCCTGGAGCTGAGCACTTGGCATGCTTCATCTCATTTAAGCCTCGTGGGTCTTATTATGACCCTATTATAAGGATGAGGAAACCGAGGCTCCAAGAGGTGGCCTGACTTGCCCTCCTCACAGCAGCTCTGTGGTGGGTTCAATCCCAGTCTGGGTGGCCCCACAGCCCCCTCCCCCACCAGCATCGTGAGCCTGCGTCCATGCGTTCCCTGTGCTTTTTATTGACTTCTCAGCATCTTTCTGTAGCTTTCAGATTTTCTACAATGAGGAGGCAATACTTCCAGGACCAGAAATGAACAGCGAGTGTCACTTTTACAACCTGAAACTGAAGCCTCAGCTCTGGCCTCACCTCCCAGGAAGCTCCCCCTCCCTGTGCCCGGCTTCCCAGCACGTCCTGATCACAGCCCTGGTGACACCTGCCTGGCTGGCCCTGGCTGTCCACACGCTGCCTCCTTCCCCAGCCTGGGAGCCCCTCGAGGGAAGACAGGTCTGTTCCCACACCCAGGGCCAGGCCAGCACAGAGCCCGGGACAGAAGGCTCCTGTGAGTGTGCTCCCAGTGTCACGGGGGTGGTGGGCAGGTTCAGACGGGATAACCGACCTAAGGCCATGCGGCACAGCCAGAGCAGGACAGCACCCGCCCCCCCTGCGTGAGCCAGGCCCCCGGCCCTGTGGCCCCACATCCCTCCTGCCTCCCTCCTCCCCAACCCCGCGCCGTTGGCCCCCATCCAGTGCCTTTTACCCCGTGGCCCCTCTGCCCCTGGCACTCGCTCCCAGGGCCGCACATACCCCGGTGTGGGCTCCGACCCCGAATACGTCACTGTGCCTTTGACCCCTTTGGTGGACATTCTGCCTCCAGACGTGCCAAGTCTGCTGCCAGCGCAGCTCTCAGCCCAGCCTCTGCTGACTGCCAGTCCTCCTGGGAGCCCGAGCAGCCCACTGGCTCCCATAAGACGCCCTGTCCCCAAAGTGGCAGTGGAGTGGCTCCTGGGGCCACCTAACAGAAGCGCTGGGCGGGGCTGCCCGCCTCCCAGTTCACACAGCTATACCTCTCCCCGCAGGAACTGGCTGCGCCCGCCCTGGCACACTGGCCCAGGAACAGGTCTGGCAACTCCAGGCTGCTCCGTGCGTGCTGGGAGGGGCTGGCAGGGAGTCACCTGATAAGCAGAAAAATCCCCCAGGGGGGTTACAGGATGAAAATATTAGTGGGACCCTAGCAGCAAATGCAACATCCTTCAGGAAGCCCTCAGCCAGCCAAGCTCTACGGCCCACCCAGGTCCCTGCACCAAGTCCTCATGTCTGCCCTCCACCCCCAAGCCACGGGGGCTCCTTCATTTGCATTCTCCTGATGTGCCCAACTGGCATCCTCCGGGCAGAGGAAAGGTCACAGCAACTCCAGAGAGAGTCTAGATGAGCCGCCAGGGCACCTGTGGCTCCAGAACACTGCCTCATTCCTTTATTCCTTTATTCTCCTGCTTACTGTGTGGCCCTGGGCAAGTTACTTAACCTCTCTGAGCCTGTCTGAGGTGGAATAATACTTGTTATGGCTCTTGATAGGATCACGTGGGAAGATGCAAGACTGGACAAGACAGATCACATCTTCTGGCACAAAATCAGTGCTCCTAGTTGTCGGCTCCAAATACTTCCTTGAGTATTTCTCGAGCACCTGCTAGGTTCTGGGAAGCAAAAGAATGAGCTCAGGCCCCACTGCCGTCCCTCACTGGTGGTCTGACCCTGTCCC